ATTTTCACAAACTAACTGGGCCCGCCCGCGCACTCGGACATAAAGACGTCGCCGACCGTTAATGCCACCCGCAGCAAGACCAGGCCAGCAAACCCACACCACACGCCCTGCACCACTACCTATTCGTAAGGTACCTGGACAAGATTGGAACACCCGCACCCGCACAGCACTCGCTCCAGCTCCAGCTCCAGCTCCAGCAGACAAGACGTCCCCTACAGGCTACGAATACCTAGTCTGCCCTGCCCTCCTCCACTGTACTCGTCGTACCGCCGTACTTGCATCGTAAAGAGGTACGGTTTCCAAGAGGTACCTACCTACCTTACCGCACCAAAGCAACCCAGCATCAGCATCAGCACCAGCAACCGCAACCTCGTCCTCCAACTCCACGCCGCACGCCGCACGCCGCTCCTCGTGCCCGCACTCTCACACACACTCCTCACACCCACCCCCCGGCCTGCTGCCCTGTCCTCTCCTCTCCTCCTCGACCTCCACAGTCCACTGCTTGCTTGCTCTGCCCTCCTTAGCATTGCGAGCGACCGAACTCTATCAACCCCCCAAAGCTTCCGAGGCCTTTTCCCTGCGCATCACATAATCTCGCGCGCGCACATTAGACGCACCCCGTCTACTCCCCGTCGTCTCCCCGTCGTCTCCCCGTTGCTGCTCGACATTAATAATTTGCCTACGCCCTCCATCCCAGTACCTTGCCGTGCTTACTGTTCCGCCCTCTTTACCCTAGCGCCGCGGACTCTTGGCTGTGTCATCCCGACTCTTTTACCTTTTTGGTTGATTCTTCCTTTTAACTGGGTCGACTTCGTTCTCGCTATCATATATAGTTCACTTACACGGCTCTCACCTCCCTTCACCCACAGACTTATACGCAGTTTGCCCCTCGCTCTACATCAACAACATCTTCCTCTTCCACACATCGCCACACCTTATCCTTCCTCGCTTGCCACCTACCATCACCCCAATAACTAGTAATCATTCATCACAATGGGAAGCGGTCTACCCACACCTCCCTTGGAGGATCAAAAATCCAGAAAAAGCTCTTCTAGCTCCAAGGCCATCAAGCCCAACCGCCACACTGGCAAGCGCGCGAGCCCTCACAACACGACACAACATCACGATCATAGCTCTCAAGCCATGTCTGCCGATGGACGCCATAAGAGAGTATGGAAGGCTTGCGAACGGTGTCGTATGAAGAAGACCAAGGTAAGCACCACCACCACCACCACACCCAACCTCCGAGTCACTCCCATCTGACTTGAACTTTACTCAGTGCGACGGAGAATTCCCCTGCAAAAGGTGTAAGGACGACGGTCTCGTCTGCACCGCCGGCGTTCGCAAGAAGACTGAATACAAGCAGCTGCCCAGAGGGTACGCTGAGGTTCTCGAGCACACACAATTCGCCCTTATTGCCACCGTCCACAAGTTGTACTCTATGGTTAGGAACCAACAACAATGGGACCTTGGTGAGCCCGAGCTCAACGACAGAGGACAACCCGTCATCCACAACATTGCCCAGAAGCTTGGATGTATCCGCCCCAACAGCGATATCGACTTGCCAGTTCACTCGGTATTCCCTGAGGACGAGGCAGGCTTGGCCGAGCTGGCGCGCCAACTGGAGGAACAGCAGAAGGAACGCGATGTCGAAAAGCCCATGAAGGTTGAGGTCGATTCTAACTCAAGTTGCGAGCGTTCAGATCGCGCAAGCTCTTCCGACATCGATCACTCCGAATTTGAGGCCGACTACCGCAAAGCCGTCTTTGGCGGCCACAACAACCCGATGACCATGTCTCCGCAAAGCTTTTCTACAGGATACACTGAGTTCGATGTCGACTCAGTCGCCTCACCCATCGATCCGACCGCCGCCATGTTCCAACAAAACCAGTCCCCGCCCATGAACGCCTACCAACAATGGAATATGCCCAGGCAATCAGCACCCTCTTCAATGGACCTCGCTCAGCAATTCTTCCAACATCCCGGCGCCCTCACCAACATGGATATGCTCAACCAAGGCCTGATCGAGTCAGAATTCGGAACTATTAAGCCCCACGTCCTCAACTGTCCGAATCCGGAAGTCATGATGGGAATGGGCGACCCGATGATCTACGGAGGCTACGATGGCGAGCCAATGCGACTGTAACCCAATCATTAAAGTCACCAAGCATTTCGAGTACGGATTACGAGTTATAGAATTGGGCTTCGGTCGGGCTACGACCATCAGGCGCACAGAAGACATGGGGTCAAGGGTTTTGCGAATTCTGGGTTTTCAATGATACACCGCAAAGGCGTTGCTTTTTCTGGGAAAGGGACCCCTTCCCCATCTCGCGAGAGAGAAAAGGCGTACAACGGTTTTTTGGGGTGGTTTATTTGTTTTTTTTTTTATTTTGGTCAACTCGGATGAGGTTAATCGCCACCGTTCAAAAGGATGGAGATAGTGAGCGGGAAACGGCCTTTGGGAGAAGAAGGACATTATTAGCATTGAGGCGACGATTTTCATGTTACGACGACACAAAAATCGAAACCATTGCATCAACTTTTTTCTTGACCGTGTCTATTTTCTATTCGTGTGTAACGGCCGAGATTTCTTTTGCGATGACGCTGGGTCCAGCAGCTTTCCTTTAATTTTTAGAGAGAGAAAAAGGTTTATCTTACCGCCCACCCTCCTTCACAGAGTTGGGACGGAAGGACAAGCTTGCATAAAGCTGAACCGGGGGGGCCAGAGGTCAAAGTAACCAGTGTAAAAACAGATACACACACAATACCACAAACCACCACTCTACGAGCGCAACCAATACTTTTCTCAATTTCGATGGCGTGCAATTTCTACCTAATTTGGATTGTAAGACACAAAGTCCGTGAGCTTTTCAAACCCAGCAGCCCCAGGTCGGCGAATCATTTTTTTTAGGCTCTCCTGCCTGTCGTTGTATTGCACAGCGAGAGCTCTATTGACTTTTGCCGACTGCTCCCCCTGCTGTAACCTCCCAGGTTAGACTTCGAGCGTATTCTGGTAATGGGAGAGCACGACGCTACAAGAAGACGGTGACAAGACTCAGAAGAAAGTCTACTTATTCGTGTGTCTCACGCCCGGCTTACACTCTCTTCGCTAGGCCCGCAGTCCAAAGGAAAATCTTAGAAGAGGATCTTGGGGGGTTTCTTTTCCTTGCCAGGAGCCAGCTCCGTCGGTCAAAGTCAGTCCCCTCCAAATTTGTCCTGCGAGCATGGCAGCATGCCAATTTGTTGCTCTCGGGGTCACCAACGCTGCGACCGAAACCCCGGAGGGTTTGGAGCGAATGCGACGCTCAGAGTTGCCAAGGGGATGAGCCACGGGGTCTCCACGTCACGACTTATAATTCTCACCAGTGGGGAAAGGTCGGCGGCGGAGGAAGGTAAAAAGATTGTTTCTCGCCGTCGCCGAAGGGGCGAAGGGGACGGACGGACAACAATAAGACAGTTGCAGGGCCTAAGATTCCGCAGGGAGACAACTGTCAGCATTGGGAGATGAAGATGGCCTCACCGTACCCATCGGCGACCTCCCAGCAAGCTTCTAACACGATTGCGGACTGCAAAATTCCCAGCGCGACGTGATACTTTCTTCAAGCTTCTGGCGGCCCCCACTTGGTGATTTGATCGACCGTACAGCTCAGCAGCCGTGCCAGCATCTCTCATGAGATTTGGGGGCCGAAATGACAGCGATGGTGCAACATGGCATGACTAGACAAAGCTCCCATGCTGCCAAGCGTAGACTGCCGACCTCGTTTTTGGTTTCCTGCCATGTGAGATGAGCCGCTTTCTGGTCGTATATCGCATCACCACACGCAACGATCAACAGGTTCGAATCGGCGCGGACCAAACGTATCTTTCAAGTCCGCCGAGAAGGCGGGCGAGCAGTCGGTCAGGCGTCGTCACGCCCCTCATCTCTAAGCCACTTGGTAGAGTCTTGGTCAATTCTGGTTCTGGACAAAGGTCCCCCTGGAGCATCCATGATCCTTGTTGGTCGATCAAGGGGTGACAGGGGGGAGGGTGTGTGGTTGCGCCAGCAGTTGTCGATGGCTCTGCATCTGCGGCGGCGGGCTGGTAAGTGGCAGGGCGCAATAGTCAACGGTCTGCGCAAAGACGCACACACACACCCAGATTTGTAGACGCGGATCCAATTCTGGCGGGTAAAGGCTTACTGGTGCAGGATGAAGCAGGGTTGGTCTCGCGACAAACAAGCAGACACAAGAGAAGAAATTTTTTTTTCCAAAACACACGACGAAAAACCATCTGAATGCGTCCGCCCTACGATCTCCTTCGATCCCAAGAGCCCAAGCCGCGGCGACCCACAGTGCTTGTTCCACTAAACGCGGGAAGCTCAGGGCGCTGTTCATGCGATGATGCTGCGTTTGGGCATGCCAGGCGGGTTGTGGCGCGGGTCGAGGGGTGGTGGTTCAGGTTGGCCGTTAAACAGCGTTACTGTTTATTGTGCATCACATTACTTTGTGGTGTACATGGTGATTACGGAGTATAGCACTTTGCGCGCCAGAAGGGGGGCCGCTAAGTGGTTGGAAATCAAATTATGATCTCGGCGTTTGTGACGGAGGGCGGGACGGGAAGTTGTAAACCCCGCGGTCCGATAGTGGATGACCCATGATGAGTCGATTTTTTTTGTGAAGAACTATTTCCATCGTCTTTGTTCGGGTCCGAAGATTGAGTGAGGTGGACTTTTGTTTTGGTTTTCCATTCTGCTCCAGGTAAGCGCGGGGGGGCATTTTGCTGTCCGCGGACATCAAAGACGGCCGATGACAATGTCTGAAGGGGCTCGGGCAGGTGTTGGCAATGACACCCTGTGAGTTCACGTGTTGGGCTGGGCGGATAGTCTGAGTTGGGTTAACGACGCTGGGGAAACCTTGGTTGCTGGGTTGGGCGTTGCTTGGAGTTCAAGGCGCTTTGTCAGCGGGCCTTTTGCTTTTGAATGGACCAAAGCTCCTTCTCTCCAGGCCGACTGGAAATAATAAGCCTGGACGAAAGTTTCCGTTGACTTTCAGTGGTGGACATGATCGACTGCCGTCAAAGTAGACTGCCCAACATGGGAAGCTTGTACAATGGTCGAGACCCAGGGCCAGGCCTTGGGTGGGACGCGTCGTAAATGCTTTTCTCATCTGCGTGAGGAAAGCAGAAAGCAGTATGTGTTTCCGTACGGGTCGGACTCGCATTCGGGTTTCCTCCTCCAGACTTTTCTCCCCTTAGTCTCTGACAATTCTATCGACGTGCAGAATATTGTGTCCGTATGGGACGATGGCATCCATTGCCTGGCAGTGTCCAGGCGGTGGGTTAGCTCCGCTGTCAGTAGAAGGCCGAAACGCAGTTGGTGCGGGATGTTGGCTGTTCCAGTGATATTGTTCCCTCCTTTTCTGTCCTTCTCGACTTGTTCTTCTCTTTACTCCATACGCAAGCAGCCAGTCGGACTGTAACACTGTCTCGCCCCGTCCCACTCTATCCACATCGTCGGGATCGGAGAGAAATGGGTACTTCGTACGGGCTGTTGATGACCAACCGCCAACGTGGTTGGTGGTCCCCTGACAAGGGGTCCCGTGTTTTAGGCAGGTGATCGTAAAGGATCGGCCGCTTGTAGTTGAAATTATGAAATGAACGCGGCTTTTGTGCAAGCCTCGGCAGCTCACGGTGCCGCGCTGGGGGTCCATCGGCCCCTAGTGCAAGTATACGCCGTATCGCCATCGCCGCCGTGGAGCGGCCGGGGTGTGGAGGGCCGGCGAGGACTTTGAATTTGCGCATGAACCCATCATTTTGGACCCATCAGTTGGGGGGCTATTAGGGTTCGAGGTAAACGACATGATGTTAGGCAGATTTGGGGGCAGAAACAAGGTGAAAGTTTCTGCGCCCAGTGGAGTGGTATTTTGAAATAAGGCGCGCTTGTTTGCAGAATGTAGAATGGATATGCGTTTGATTGGCGCTTGTCTTGGCTTGCTTGGTATTCCTGGAATCGCAGTCCGCGGCCTCGGGGCGCCGGTGCGTGAGGACGAACGAGTGCCAGAGAGTCGGTGTCCTCTGGCGTCCTTGTCTGGCAGCAGCTTGGCATCAAATTCCGTCCGTCGAGGACACGTCTTTGAATTGGCATCTGCGATCGCCCACTAATCTCCAAGTGTCAACCGTCAATCGGTCAAGACTCAACGGCAGCCATTGACGACGGTGGAGTATCCGTAAGGTATCCGTAGTACCGTACGAATAAACTCGTAAGGTCCCAATAGTAAAGGGGCTGTGGCGGGTGGTTGCGGGAGTGCACGTGGACTGCGTTTTCCCGGGGTTTTTTCTTCACGCGTACATTGACCAAGGAATCAAGGATCTGTCAGGGCCGCATTTCGCATGTCGTCTCCACGTCAAATCCGGTGTCGTCTGCATGCGTTGCCGTACGGATGGTCGCTGCCTGGCGGGGTCTCGTTTGTTGATGTTGATAGGTAGACGATCCGATGGGCTGATGAAGTTCTGAAGTTGTGATGGAGGGTTGATGGCAGGTTGACTTCGCAGGGGCGGATGTTCCTCGGGTCCGAGGAATTTGGGAAGGAAGGGCTGTACGAAGTACACTGCAGGCTGCAGGTGGGATCATGGAGGAGGTGCTTTGGTTGTTCTGGAGGTGGAGGGAAGTTGCTCCTGTTCCTATTCCTATCCCTACTCCTGCTCCTCGTCGTAAGCTCATATTCCTCCGTCGATCCGCCCGGGATTCAGCTGCTGGTTTCGCCCGCAAAGGGACACAGGACCCTGGAACAGCTGGCTCGCTCTTGACCCATGGAGGTTAGGTGAGGAGGTGCTTGTGCGCGTATTCCCGCATTAGTACCCGGAGGTTGGAGGAGCAGAGGACCACCCTGCACTCCTCGTACTTTCCGAAACCGTCCAGCGTAAATACCTGATGTTGGTAGGTAGACCGTAGGTGGTGTCGATGCATGGGAACTTTGGAGTTGCATCTAGAGAGACGGGGTTTGGACTATGGGAATACAAGTACGCAGGATGCAGCAAAGCTCCATAAATGGCCCGGGAAGGTCCAATTCGGAGCAACACCAAGGGTACGTACTTGCTTCCTGCCACTTGCTGTGCTGTGCTACACTCACCTCAATCAACGACCAAGGACTGTCCTGGCAACATCGTCGTTCACAGCTCATTCCCTATGGCTTCTCCGACCAATTCACTTCGTACTTCGTAACTTCTCTCTCTCTCTCTCTCTCTCTGGGGCGCCACGGCCCACACTCTACCAAAATGTCATTTCCAACTGGCAATTAGGTTCAGTTTGGTGAAAAGTGGCTGAGCTGTGGCCCTATCCGCTTCCCCGCAACTCAACACGCGTATTGGGCGTATCTGCCCATGCCTGTTCTGCTCTAGGAACTTGGGAACGCCTCACCTATCTCGCATTTCTCGCATAGACCTCGCCCGCCCTCGTTTTCGCTCTCGTGGTGCGACTGACCGTGGTTTTTCTGCAAAGCTGCGACCGATGCCATTACTGGCAGTGTTAGGCTATCAGCAAAGCCATGCCGAGCAGCCGTTCTCACCAACCACTGCACGATGCGAAGTTTACGAAACTTGTCGAGGGGTCCTTTGCCCAGCCAAGGCACGGATTAGCTGCTTGCAGATTACAGACTATCTCATTGTGGCTCTACTCAGGTTGGCACCCCAGAAGACCAGCCCCATGCAATACCTACTAGCTGGGCGAGCATGTTTTAACCTTGATTAGATATTGTCGAATGAAGTGCCCCTCGCCGACTCCATTTCAACGTCTTGGCCGTCCATTTGCTCCAAATCGGGTGGCCGTGTCTCTCTTGGCGCCCTGCACACGCCGTATTGGCATCTCGTCATTCACCAAAGCACTGAGAGCAGACATTGTTATGCTTTTGGCTGTCAAACCACACCACGGCCACCCTGTCATGCCAACCTCTAAACCCCGCCCTAAGCCTTGTAACTGGAGGGGGTCTGTGATTTTGCACCTCTCTTGCGGTCTTGGGTTGGTCTAGGCCCATGCCAATGCCGTTGGCGCAGCATCTGGGTTGACCAAGATATGGTGATACCTGAGTCGACTTCGAGTGACTTTACCCAAGTTCCCTCAAGTCTCTTCATGTTACTCCCAGGTATGGCACCTCTCTGCAACCGAGTAAACCCCCGTCGTGGATCTCCCCAAGGCTTAGCGCGATGGGCTCCGTTTGACAGTGTCACCACCGCCAAGGACGGTAGCGAAACTTGATGTCGATGAACCGACATCTGAAAAGTGCCATCCTCAGTGGACCACCAATCAGCCTCACCTCAGTATTCTTCTTCACCTGACTATCAGATGACGGCCACCAAAAGTATCGCGCACTGCCCTGGAACACGAGAAACTCTGCCGCCCTACCGTCTTCATACCAGAAACCCCCAGAAACCTTAACGCGGGCTTTGCGATCATCGCAATATTGGGCTCCAGGCGGCCTATACACGCTAGGTGCTGTACCTCGATGAATACATCCCAATGAGAGGTGAGCCCAGTCTCAATAAGCATGCCGGCCGTTAATAGTCTAAAAATTGACACTGTAACAGGGACTCCTGAATAGGCAGATGCCGCGGACTACTCCGTGTCAATTATAGCTTTGGCCACACGACTTTCACAAACCGCAATCATCATTCCAAATATTGCCTGATGTAGCCAGACCCGACGCGCCATTGTCAGTCTGACAGACGAGTATGTCTGCCTTCTCACATGGGAATTGAGTCAGGTGGCGTAGGGCACAAAATTCTGCCTAGTCGTCATCTCACAAGAAACGACAATCTATCGAATTACAGAGTTGAATACTTGCAATTGCCTGGTCCGGGACCGGCATCGGACAATCTTACGCTGAACGCTGGAAGATCGGCATCGCGATGTGTCGCTGCTCTCAGTCATTAGCAGAACCGGGGCGTGCTGATAGACATAGATTTGGTATCCGTACACTTTGCAAGGGACACTTCAACCCAACGTCGCGTTGGCAAACTCAATGCCAGTCGTTTGGGTCACGCTAAGCAACTATTACCATTCGCCATCAGCACCTTAATCATCATTTTACGGTTGTACTTTGCCCCGAAATAACGTTCGCTGTTGATAGACAGAGTGGATGTGCGACCTTTGCATCGCGAAGCCTGTCAGCTTACCAGCAGCCAGCAGTGAAACAAGGCTAATGCAGATCTTCTGCCCAAGTTTCACCGACAGCTGTACAGAGATTACCCGCCGGACGGATTACGCGATTACTCAACCTATGGCGTCTGTACTATCGTCCAGGCACCGGCGACAAAACTCTCCATCTTGACCGTAGGAGTGACCCAAACAGAGATTGGGGCTCGTTCAATCCCACGTCAGCAGGAGAGAAGCCTCCTGAACACAGGACCACGAGTTTGATAAGAGCATCAGCTTGATGGCGGCATCGTTCCTTCAACCGCAGACTCATAGGCTGTTTGGCATCCTGGGCTGCACAAACGACAGCGCTCGCAAACGCCCGCATCTTGTCGTATGTGTCACCAGGTTGGAGATTGATCACGGTGGGGAGGTCCAGGCCTAGCCACGATGATTAGGAGTAAGCAACGACATTTTGGAGGCAAATATGATCCTCTACCAACGGGGAATGTCGCTTGATCTGGAGAAGAAGTGGGCTAATTATTGGCCTGACCCTATGCCAACCTCTGAGAAAGCTTATTGACTCGCATATAGGCCTTTTAATCTATCGATAATCTCACCCTTCCAGAGAGGAAAGTCAAATTTCAGACGAAGTTGGGGGCTACGGATACAGCCCGCCTATCTGACATCGAAGATCGAGGACCAGACCTGCTTCCGTGAAGGAAAGTGGGCGAAAGCGGTGACTGGGACTCGAAAAGGGGTCCGGTACGCTTTAAAAAAAAAAGTCTATTCACAATGTTTGGGATTGGGCGCGCGCGAGTCGCGGTTCATCCTTTCTTGGCACGGCAAAACAGAAGTGCGAAAGATTGGCCACCCCGGTCATAACGAAATGGCCGGCGCACCGCGGTCTCCATGGTACGGCACGCGTCAAAAGGGGTGGATGGGGTGGAAGAAATAAGGTTAAGCGGCAGCGATTGGGGATGCGACGTCGTCCACAGGGATAGATGCTGGCACCAAGCGCGAGGCTTTTTGACAAGCGTTCGTTTGGGTTTGGATGTGGTTTATTTACATGGACCACGGTGGGGAGGGGTTCTTCGCCGCTTACATGGTTTCACGGCCTTCATCTTGTACTATCCCCGGCCCGCGGGCTTGGCCGGGGTGCGGGGTGCAGACAGTAGGGTTTGGCCTTTACTCCGCTTTTCCCATCCGCGATGGGCGCGGAGCTTCAGTTTCGGGCGTGTATCCGAAGCCAAAAAGGCATTCAATCATCAAGGTAACAAGGCAAATAGGGTAGAGGGGGCGCGCGGGAAGGTTCAAGGCATAGGGATTCTTGCTTCGACTGGTGACATTGGCGCTGGGCGGAAGTTTGGCGGGCGTCTCGCGCGGCGTGGAGCCTGTGAAGTTATTCCGAACCTCAAGGAAAAGCCGCCGAGTGGTGGTTCATTCTTGCGTGGTAAGCACAACGTGGACTACAACATTCGTCCGAGCGATGGACGACTAATCGGCGCCAGTGCAATCCGGCGAAAACACGGATTTGTCATCTCACCGCCGCCGATGTGGATGACTGTTACGGACTTTTCTCCCCCCAACAGTCACTCACGGGGCTCTCTGCAAAGCCCGTAAGGGCTACGGTCTTCTGACTTGATCGAGTTCGTCGTACCTTACGGTCTTTGTCTACCTTGGCACTCGGGGTCTGGGAACGGAAAGCTTGATAACGAAGGGGGGAAAAGTTGGGATGATTGACGGGTTCCTCTCTCTTCCTCTTCCCCCCTTTTGGAATTCCCGCTCCGGCGGCTACGCCCGTTGATCAACGGGATCCCCTTCTCGGAGGACGTGAAGTCAAGAACCCACAAAGCACGGGGCAATTCTTGGGTATCCCCCTCCCTCTTCCCGTCGCCTGCGTAATAGATGCCGTTATGCCGAGTCATTGCCTCTTTTGGGTCTGGAACTCGCCAGGAAAAACCGAGGTTATGGAATCGGTATCCTGGGCCAGGGGCGCGGGACGGCGACTTCTTTGCATGGTGAGCTTTCATTTTGGTGATGGGCAAGGTGAGTGATGGATTACACCGCCCACTCGTTCCCCCACACACCCTTACGTGGACCATCTTGTGTGTTTCCTCGCACACCACTACTCCGTACCCCCATCACACCGGAGAGAGAGAGATCCTGAGTTTTCTGGGTGAGACGGAGGGGGCTAGGTTAGGCGCTTTATCGCTCACTTTCTTGGTCTCACGGCGTTGAACCCCTTTTGAGAATTAGACTGGATGCTGTTGCCGCTTGCGAGGCTTCAACCAGCTCTTTGGATGAGTTCTAGCGTGTCCTGAGCTGAACAGGCTTTTCTGTCTGACCGAAGTGCGGTGGTATGATACCAGATGGCTGACTGGAACAACGAGTGCGGCAGCCGTGCCCGTTCTCGGTTTCGGTAAATGCCAACCACAATCGTGTGCTCAATTTTTCTGCCCCCTTTCCCCCTTCTCTATATTCCCATCTTGGAGAATCTCTTGTCACTGTACTTGTGATCTACGTCCTCCCCATTTCTGATGATTTGATGATCTGATGCTATGGTGCAGTTGCTCCCGCGACGGCGGTGAGCGAGGTGACAGTGATAGTGACATACGCCCCCCAGGGCCCTACAAGGACGATGATGGAGGGATGGGAACCCCTCCTTCGGGACTTCCAGAGGGCCAGGACGATCTGCCTTACCTCTTGCCACCCCATCCCCTCGTTTTTACCCCTCAATGGCAGGGTGGTCTTTCTTATGGGGTTCTTTGAGCTTGTTTTTGGGGATTGCTGCGGCCCTATAGTCCCTCACCGGTTCATCGGGTGGTTGGGATTAGGTTTTTTTCTTTTCTCGTTGCTCGGGTCTGTGTCACACTGTCACTGTGTGACTGTCACTCTTGTCAGGCGGGGTAAGAAGGGATCCTCTTCTTTGACTCTCTGCTGTTCTCTGCTAGACATCTATCTATATTTAGGCTAGACGGGCCGGGCGGGTATGGCGGGTATGGGACTGGTCTGGACCGGGCTTCGACTTCGTCCTCGACTCCATGGGAAAACGGTGATGGTAACGGTAACGGAAGTTGAGAGTTTACGGAGCTCGCTGGCTTGATTTGGTTTTTGGTGGTGATGTGTAGAAGACGACGGAGAGGGTGAGGTGGCGCGCTTTGATGCGTCGATGAATATGTGGGGACAACTTGTGGAAAAAGGGGTCTATCATGATAGAGAAAGCTTGGGTTGTTTCCATTGACCATATTGGCTTGTTAGACATCAACAGATAGCTTTGACCATAACTCCTAGTCATCATCGTGCTGATCGAGAGACTTACACGCTAGAGCACGTTTGTACGTTCCCTACGGATCTTCGGCTTCTTGCAATGATATAGCAAGAACTCAAGAACGGTGCCCGGATTTCCTACTTCGCTGCATCAGTTACTCCCATGGCGTATTATACACGTCCCATCCTTCCACATTCGGATGTTCTTGTTGACGATTTCATGTTCGATACTTGTGACCTCGTTCACTCTGACACTCAAGTCAGATTTCCGCTTCTCATCTACTATAATTGTGGTTTTGTTCAAGAACACAATCGAGTTCTTGTTGAGCAAATAGATAGTTCACTTCGGTCTGCTTCAAAGCTCGTGTCTGATTGACTTCACCTTGCACTTGCAGTAGAATTATGTGCTTACTATGAAGCTGTGCTCCCGCATCAAAGACCAGGGTCCATTTAATGACTTCCTAGAGCGTTTGTATGAAGAGAAACTACGTGCTGACAAGAAAAGATGACAGTTACACTTGGGGTCGTCAACGAGTGGCAAGCCAAACTTGGACGTCTACAAACTCTGATACCGGGCATCTGACGTGTTCAGCGACGTTGACTGCCAAAACAGCAGCATATTGTCTTAAGACAACCAGTCCTGCGACCTAAGGTACTGCAGATCCTTTCCTGAGGTCTTTTGATACACTGGGTCACTCTGCATTCCTCTCTATTGAGAACTATAGCATGTTATCCTGCCCTGGGCCCCAAATCTTGCCAAGTGCGATCCAAAGGGCCTTTCTCTCGTCGACATGAAGTAGAACGCCTTTTCCGAGGGGTTTCAAGGCTTAAATAGGAATACAACACCCGATATTAGCTTATGCGCGCCTTTTCATCATTCGAAATGCCAATTCCATAGGTCAGGCCGAGCTAGTATCGCGGTAGGTGTGCGCCATTCACGCATGGACTTGGGCTAAGTTCTGCTGTTATAATAATGTAATGGGGCTCAGAAACCTGACTCCTTTCAACTCTTTCTTCGTGATCTTGGAATGTTCAGGGAATTGAAAAGCTGTCTTGCTTGATCTTAAGGATGCCCTCAATTGTAATAGACAGTGATTAGAATGCTCCCGAGGGCTTCCTAACTAAATGCTCCTCTCTCAAAGCACCGTATGCCCGGCGCATTCACACACCTCATTCTCAGAAAGAGACCCTCCGAAGTAGAATGCTTATTCGTCGGTACCAGGCAAGTTAGAAGATCTCCTTGAGGTTCTAGTGAACCTCGCATCAACAGAGTAAGAGCCCCTTCTGCTGGTAAACGGTGCTTTTAGGTACCTTACACCAAGTGGACTTGTGACCACCGAAGAGCCCTACTTCCTATCAAGCTTTCCACTCGAAACGATTCCATAGCCAACAAGCCATACGCTTACAAGTACCTATCATACTCTGAAAGCTATGCATGTGCGTCCATGTGTAAAGAGGAGTTTCACCGCTGTGGTACTCACAATAGGTCACTGAAGAACCTGCAAACTGGTTAGCGTAGCTGGGCCCCGAAAAAGAGGGCACGGCATGATCTCGAGTCTCTGCTTTTGATCTGCTAGCTAATATGTAGCTCTCATTTTGAATACCATCTCCTCCTCGTATGGTCATCATGTGTCACAACGTGCACAAAACGATTCATCAATCTTGGCACTACCCACCCTGGGTTGACGCCTAGAATCCACTGGTCAAGAGCCTCAATGAGCCCAATACTTCAATCCCTCGATATCACAGCAGGCCTAGGCGATGGAACTTGCGCAAAGCTGTCTATTGCTTCAGGTCCTGGAAGAGTGAATGGGGTCTACGACTTAGCTTGCAGGTTATATCTCCTGAGAGACCAAATTCGCATTCAGCGACTGCAGACCCTGCTTGAGACGATATGCTTTCCTCGTACTCGGGTCTTGCCGCAAAGCCACTACCATGCATACTAGTGTTTGTAAAACCTTCAATACTTTGGGGGATACCCTCTCCCACTCCAAGGATCTTGCAATTTCTGCTGTGACATACTCTGGGTGGTTTGGTCTCGTCCCCGGCGTGAGAACCTATGTTCTTCTCTATGATGTTTGTCCCGGACACAAGTTTAAGACGCAGGCTCATACCGACTGTTCTTTATATGACACGGCCAATAATCTTACGATTATCATTCAGCGTGATGGGCGTCGGCTGGTGCCATAAATGATCCGGGAGGTTTCTAACTGGATCAGAATTGCTCATAGCCATTGGTGAGCCTCTGTGAATATAGGGCTGCCACTCAATCTTCTTATTAGTTAATTACTCTTCTCCTGATGTCAAGAGCCGCCGTCCCTCCTCCCTAGCCCCTTTCCAACTGTGGAGCAAGGCCTGTCATATCCAAGGTCTTCAGTAGACCTTATTGTTGACAAGTATGCATGTGTTTTTTGCATTTGCATTTGCTCATGTGATTCGTCTCTACTGGGTACAAGCCCCTTGGAAATCCGTGACTAGTGAGATGAAAGTTCCCGTCACGATGAGGTCCGTTCGATGAGTAGGACGACCGTCAATGTCAATCATTATCTCTCTACACACATCGTTTGGGTGTAGGGAGACTGAGAGAGCATAGGTTATATATAGTTGGCGCCCCTCTTTCTCTCGAGTCGGCCGCGTGAATTCCTCAAGCAGAGGATCTCAGCTCCCCTATCTAGGGAAACCGCACCCATGGATGGATGTGGTCGGTAAGTGGCCTTAGTCTTGCGACCACCCTTATCAATAGTTTTATGCTGACAGAATATTTGAATGCCTTCATCCAGCTCGCACTGCTATCATGTAATCAATGTCGATAGTCACGACATATTTCAGCAGAAGCAGCACTCTTTGCAGTATCTCCACTACATGAAAAACGTTATGCCGTATTGCATCGAATCTCCAGGCTTCGCTCTTGTCATAGAGATGGACTACACGCGCGCTACTGAAACATCGTAAATTCGTGCCAAAGTTTCATCGGATATCTACACGACCAGCATCTAGAACTCTGCAGACACGGCAATGAAGCCCGTTGCCTTGCCCTCAGCCGCCTGCTTCATCAGCTCCTGGTAAATTGGATCCTTTGTCTGGTAGTACTCCATATCCCTATTCATGCCCGTCATCGTCAGTAAGATACTTAGCAATTTGATGCGCACGGTCTGACGACTTCACGGTAAGAGGAAGCGCAAAGATGAAGGATGTACATACGCATCATTGGCAAACGTGATCTCGTAAACGACGGACCATGCCTGGGATCCCGGGACGTCTGTGAGAACCTTGCACTTGCTAGCCTTCGAGGCAACGAGGTACGTTGAGCCGTCCTCCTGACGTTCCCCAAGAAAACAACAAGTCAGCAAACATGTCTCACAAGTGTTCATGGCGGAGAATTCAAGCATGAGACTTGAACCTACCTTTTTGCAGTCGTTGACGAAGTTGCTGAACCTCTTCACTGCCTCATCTTGCTGAGGGCCGTCGGCGAGGGCAATGAGTCCGATTCTGGTGATGGCCATATTGAATGTTGTGCAAAGGTCTTACGGTAGAGGTAAAGATGTTGTTTGGCGTTAGATGATCAAGGTCGTCGCTTGAAGTCTCCGTAGATGGGTTCGTAGAGATCGTTGTTGGTCGAGAAGGCCATGAGTCTTATATAGACATCCAGAAACTCGGTCCCTTTCCAACACGGGAAGTCACAGCCGTCTCTGCCTCGGCGCATCGTCGTCTCATTATGCCGATGAAAGGAGGCGGAGCAAGGACCCCCGTCCCGTCCGTCCCCGGGCCCAGAAGCCACCTCCGCATTGGAGGTGAATTCTCCGTATGGGACCCCTACGGATGGTAATACTTCAATGCTCATCCGGGTCGCCCTCCACCTATCGCATCAGACCACAGGACAGGTAAATGAACACGTCGTCAATCGCCTCACCGACAGAAAGCAAAGCCGGGGAACGAGAACCACGTAGTCACTAGTGAATAGAGAGAAAGAGGGGTTCACAATCCACTGATCTTCACTATCTTCAACGGAGACCGAACCATATGCATAAGTTCCCTTGGCACGCTAACTATGATCCTGCCGAGGCATGAAATCCAAGTGTTCCAGGGCCCCCAATCAATGACCGGTACCGAGAGCTGTTTCCCCCCTCTCTCTCCTACTCCTTGGTCTGCGAAACGTAAGAACCAGGCGGCAGGACGTTCTCTGACGATTCGGCTGTAGTCAGATGCTCGGCGACGGAGCATATACCGATTCGGGTCGCTAGCTTGCGTCAGTTGCTGTCGTAGCCGGGCAGATCCCGGCTTTCCGCTAGTGGAGCAAATGAACCCCGGACGGGGGCGGGTCCGTGCTAGGCCACCGAAAACCCCCCGGTCCGGTAGACGATTGATACCTGCTTTACTGGATATCTGTCCGCCGGGCGGTTCGGTGGTGGCACTTGTCAGTGTGCATGTGAAGACTGGCCTGTCTCGGCCCTCGGGGCCCGAGGGAGTCGGGCGGTCGGGCGGTATGGTTTGTCACGTCTTATTCGCACACTCGGTCCCCATCTTGCGGGACATTAGTACATCTCGTAATTGAAGGACAGTCAGGTTGTTGGTTCAGTCTTTTGTCATTCATTCTATAAACATCATAAACTTTTTATATGGCCAACCCCGAGTAAACCCATATCAAACAGCCCCCCTTCGTTCACGTGGACATTGTCTTTCGTGTACCCAATGTCCTCGTCACCCCAAGCCCTTCACCAACTCCCGCAGAAACAATAAAAATCCTCGTAACATTTTGAAATATGCTTGAGAGTTAGAAATTAAAGGGCTGTGATGTGTGAAATACATCTTCCAGCAGCCAGTTCGTCCCGGGAAATCAATCGATCTCGCTCCGAGAACGCCTCGCCATAAAGAGATGCAGGATATCAAATGCTCGCAAGCTTGAACCAGAAAAGCAAACCAAAAAGATGAGCCATCAACACAGTTGAATGGCAAAAGGGAAAAAAGCCAGTCAGAAACCAATCTATGTACGTGTGTGAAATCTTTTGTGTGGAATCGGAGAGGCCCTTCACTGGCTTCCCCGCCGTCGCCGTTGATCCCTGTAGTTGAGGGAGTAAGGAGCGGGCCGCTCCTGGCGAACCGTTCGCCGGTCCGGAAGACCAGACCGCATGTCCGGGTAGTAGTTAGTCTGCGCTGGACCCGGGCCCGGCTGGAAACCAACTGGCGACCGCGGAGCGTACGCAGCCTGGGACATCTCGGCTCCCGTCGTTGGGTACAGGCAGTTTGGTGGCGGTGGTCGCAGGTAGAAGTTGCTCTCCTGCTGTGTCGTGTAGTGCTGAGGTGGGAGGCTCGACACAGGTTGCATCGGCCGCATCATCTCGACTGAGGTGGGAGGCGGGTAGGCGTGCATTGTTCGATCTTGCATCGGGGCACCAAAGTCGGTGATGGGCATCGTCTGCTGCATTTGTGTCGGGAGAGGTTGCTGGAAGAAGCCGTGGCCAGCAGCGTGTGGAGGCTCGGCAGGCGCAGAATGGGTAGCCAACGGCGAATGGATTCGGGATGACGGCTGGCTGTAGCTGGTGGGAGCATAGTACTCTGGGGCGGTGTTGATGCGAGGCTCAGGACGACGGCCGTGAGCAGCAGTCATGTCCCGGAACATGCGGGAGCGGTCTCGATTCAAGGCCATTGCTGCAGAGCGATCCGGCGGTGGTGTAGCTTGGCCGTCCACCCAGCGACAGGAGTCAGACTCATCCGCAGTGTGAGAAGAAACGGACGCGGGAGCCGAGGGCACTCGGTTCGCAGTCGTGACTGGTACATTTTGGCTCTTGTCCGTAGACGCTACCGCGGGGTCCTGCGCGCGCTTGACCACTTCGGGGTGAACTCCCTCAACGTACTCGATGAATTCCTTGAGGCTTTGTACCCTTTGGCTCAGCTGTTCGATGCTCTTGTCAGAACCATCGGAGCCGTCAGAAAGCAGACTCTTGATTGCATCGACGATCTGATCAGCGATCGACTGAAGCCTCTTCTCTGTTCCTTTCAATGGGATACCAGTGATTGGCTGAAGCAGGCCGAGAAGCTGCAAAGCCTCCTCAATGTTCCTTCGAGCAGCCTGAAGCGACTCGTTCGCTGGGCGAAGTTGATCATCACTGGCTTGGCTCTGCTGTAATTGCTCGCAATGGCCCTCCAAAGAACTGATGTGAGCTTGTGTGCTCTGTCGGAAGGAATCGATAATTCCACTCGGTGTAAACGTATGAACGGGTTGAGCTGGTGCTCGGCGAGCCATGACTGGCGTCCCGCGTGTGCTCGAAGGGCGAGAATCGTCAGGACGCGGGCTTCGCCTTGGCTGTTGGTTTTGTGAAGTCGAAGGCAAACTGCCTTCCTGTACCGGGCTGTAAGAGCTCGACGGAAGGGGGTATGATGGTCGGGGTGCGGAGCGGTTGCTCTGAATGACGTGAACCTCTTGAGGCGCAGGGAACGAGGTGCCTGGGATCGGGAGTCTGTTCGACTGTTCCGGATACCGTGGGTGCATTTGGAAATCTTGGAGGGGCTGCGAAGCGTTTGAAGGAGGAATCTGAGATGGCAAGTAGCCCGCGCGAGGGTCATTGTGCATGTGAACAGCTTCCGGTTGCTGAGGATGATGCCCCACAGGTCCATTGTGGTTGTGAGAGCTGCCTTGCTCCTCCGCAAGGCGATACTGCTCGTAGTAGTCGGCATGGTTGACTGTCCTCGAGGGCAGCGCCTGTTGTCGCTGAGGCATTGGCAACTGTGGTTGCCGCATTTCCGGGACGTGGTGTTGTGGCATCTGCAAAGTATCCCAAGCATTGCCGTTATCTGCGTTGAGGCCTTGTGTGGCCCACATAGGCTCCTGGGCGTTGGCACCCGGCCTTTGCTGGTCATGTTGTCCAGGCACGTAGTTGCTGCTCTCGTTCTGCGGCATGAAAACAAAGTTGACTTGCAGATCAGCGTCTGCAATCATACCGTCCATTTGATGCTCGCCAATGCATAGGTCCAGGTTGTCAGCAAAGGCAGGATCGAGGCTGAAAGATGGATCAATGTCGAAGCTGAACTCGTCATCAGATTCCAGGTCTGACCAAGTGTTGCTTCCATATGGTCGGACTTTTGGTGCTTCAGCGACAATACGTGTGTTTTGCTTCGTTGCGAATGATGCGGTGGGAATGTGGAACGGCTTAGGCGAGGTGGACTGTTCAATATCAAGAGTGTTCAGCTGAAGTTCTGGACAGTCATGGCTTTCCAAGTAGGGTGCTCACCATTCGTCCCATGGAAGACTTGTAAATAGGAGAATCAGGGTCTCGAATTTCAATGGCAGAGTCTCGACGTCCTTGGACGCGGTAGAATCGAGGATGCGGAACATCGTCCCCCGACTCAGAAGGGCTTCGAGACGATGCGCAAGACGACGCTGAAGGAGTCAATGCAGGCTGTTGCACATCCACGCTGAGCGAGAGTGCGTCCCACTGGGCCGTAAATAAGGAAACTCTGCTGGCGGGCTCCAGGTTGACTCTCGATGCATTGCCCTCCAGCATGACTTCGCGTCCAACGTAGACGCACGAGCCATAGAGCGTTGCGATGCCACGATATCCCATCTGAGGGCGCTCCGAGGCGGAACGACGGAAATCCAGGCTCGGCCCGTACAATGTAAGCAGGAAAGTGGTTCCGGATCGTTGTTCAGTGTGAGTCGGAACCCAACAGACAGCCTTCAAAGGCACGAGCATACACTGATTAGTCCGGAGGTTGAGAATATGAAGCGCATCTGAAAGGTCCTCTCCCGTGCCGTTCTCGACGATGGCCACCGGATCACCTCGTTGGTACTCCTGGCCGTCGAGGGATCGCCCATCATGAACGAGCGTGCCATGCGCTGGCTGCATGTTTGTGTTGGCTGGATCGCTATCCAGAAGCGTAGTATTTGCCATGTCGTCTTACAAGGAAGACTGCTGGTCGGATGAAAAGGAAGAAAGAAAGAAGGGGGCAAGCCGCGAGACGCAGATATCAACACCACCACGAGGTTAAATGGATATGGGCGTGGCTCATAGCTTGGTAAGAGTCGACGTTACGTTGGTGGATGTGTCGAAACCGGGCCACGCTGTGAATATAGAGTGGTAGGTGGTGTGCGAAGACAACGTCGAAGTGTCAATATCAGGCAGAGTGATATAGGTGAAGAAACATGGAGGAGCGGTGACCAGAAGTGTTGACGAGGAAGTGACGAATTTTATAACACAAATCGGAATATGAGAGAAGCGTGAACGCATACGCCTAGGGCACTTGACGGTACCAGATGCGACTTGGCATCGATTCGGGTCCGATACCCATACCATGGGCCATGGAGGAGCTGCAGCGGAAGCCTCGTCGCACATCCGCCTGTATGAACTCGTACGCAATCCTAGTCGACACCCTCCCATCTCTTGCGGACGTACCTTGGGGACAAGGGGTAAGGGCGTGTACGTGGAAGAAATCCCAGGATGCACTAGAGGGCGATCTGCTAGGTACCTAGGGCCGTAAGGTATAGATCCTTGTCGACGACAGACCAGGGATTATGACGGGGCAGGCCGAGACGACTGGGGGGGGGGGAGGGGGGGGCGGTGATTTGTATAGGAAGGCCATGGCTGTCTCGGACCCTTTCTCCACCCTCAAGGCCTGGCTGCTTTGCACCGGCTTGTGTGGTTGTGTAGGTATGTCAGCCAGTGCCTTCGCAATTGCGTACCAAGCACCAGCTTGTATCGGAACATGGCTTTCAGCCAGTTCGTATCTTGCACCTCTCTCGTCTTTGGCCACTTGGACTTGGAACATCACTGGTAGTCGACATAAGAAAGAGCTTCGAGTCAAACGTCTTGGGAGCGGGAAAAAGGCATCATCTGCGACAACTACACCCAACTGTTACACCTCTTTGACGCCATTGACGCCGTCTGAATAGCAGGAAATCCTTCGCGGCAGCGTAGCATGGCGCTTGTTCGGTGCAGACAGAGAGAGACTCGTTTCAAAAGAAATGTCATGAACATGGAACGCAAAATTCTGAGAAGTGATAGGGCGAGACACGCCATTGGTTGTTTGACCATGCCGAAACACCATCCAGACTGCGCGGACGTGGAGTAACCGGACGCCTGCAAAACCTCCTCAGCCACTAGCTTCTAAGCGGTGACCCCGCCAGGATTCAAGTCAACATGGACTTAAACCCTTTCTTCCATGAAGTTATCGAGTCTCTGCGGTCCACAAATTGCGGTTCCGAGGCAGCTCTAAGACAGCATAACTGATCACCCTATCCGTATGCTGCCAGGAACGCCGCGATGCAGAACCCAGAGCCCCTTTGTAAACTTGGACCGAGGCCACCGAATCGCCGCCACAGGCTGAGACCACGGTCAACACCGCCGCCTTGGTGGCTTCACCATTTCGACAACCCCCTCCGGTCTCGCATGCTCACGAGTGCCAGCACTCCTGCTGGGCAGCAATGCTAGCTCAGGGCGGGCAGTGCTAGTTGTTCAATCGCTTGATGGTGAGATGTGTCTTAAGGGGCGATATTCGCCTTATCAATTGTACATTGTGCCGCGGCGGGAACGAGCTGGCAGCATCCAAATGTGAGGCTTTCCCAGGGAGCGTCCGCAGTTCGCGAGGAGGGGTTAAGCATGGTCTAGAAGTAGCCACTTCGCCGTCCTTACTTGCTTGTCTTTGGATTGGCCTCGGTCTTGGTGTCGTCTTGTGTTTTGCCCTCTTCCGGCATCTTGCCGAATTTTGTCAAAATATTTGCAGCCCATTCCTCGAACTCCTTCTCGGCCGCCTCGTCCGTCTGGCCAGCCGCTCCGCGGATGCTTCTCCTAGCCATCTCTCTCAAGTCGTCGACCGAAGACACATCAAATGCCCAAGCAGCGCCCCCAGTCATCATGATCGCGAAGCTCATGACGTTCAGTGTTGCCAGATTCAAAGCCTCGACGGCAATCATGCCACCCTCGGTGTTTCCTTGTTTGCCAGCAGCATAGTGGCTGGGTTGATAGAATTTCGGGAAGGCAGCGAGTTGTTTGCGGGCTACGGAGCGTCGGGTAACCATTGCCGAAAAGACGAAGAAGCCGGCCCCGGCAAAGAAGAGTCCAAGTTGTTTCGCAGCCCTCGATTGGAAAGGCGAGGATGTTGGCTGGGCCTGCGACCGCGTCGGGCGAGTGTCAGGCGACTCATTCTGGGAAGCCATTGCGATCGGGGAGAGTTGCGCGAGCATCGGATTTTCCCCCTTTCAGTGAAGCTGTTGTCAGATAAAACAAACCATCGTGGCTTTCTCGGAGTAACTCACCAAGCTCAGAGCGGCATCTGCCGGTTCAATTGATCGAGACGGGTGTCGATGGAGTCCCTTGCGCGGTTGGTGTTGACGGACTGGGGAGGTAAAGCGGAGCTCTTGCGGGACAGACTTGGGAACTCCTCTGAATTGGAAGTCGGGGAAAGGAAGTTCCCGCCACTAAAATTTTCGGGCCCTGTACCTGGATATGTAACAAAGCAGACTTGGTGTCCCGTTTTATGCATATACCACTGCTAATCCAGTAAGCGAGCAATATGCTGGGCGTATTATGTAAGGCCGGTACGTATGCCGGAACGGATCGGCTTCAGTGCCGGTCGAGGTTTCCAATTGGCAAGAGACCTGGAGTTCCTTCCAGGTTACAGCGATGCTCCTGGGTTACCAGCTCATCTCCTTCTCCCCTTGCCTGGTGTTTTACTTCTACGTCTTCTCAACAGCATAATGCACCTCACAGTCACTGAAGAAGATGCTGATGACGCAAACGGGTTCGCCCAACTCAAATTTAGAAAATTTCATCCTGTCAACACCCACCCTATTTTCCCTCGTATTTGTATCTTGCAATTTCGCGGCATGCTGGCAACTCACGAAATGCTACCGTTCGCTACGGACGAAATGCACGGTGGCCCACTGTCAACACAACACATCTTCCAGAAGCCACACATCCAGACTCGTCAGGTACCCTGCGACTACAACTACGACTGCGGCAGCCAAGCCACAGCGTGGACGGCATAAGAAGCGCGGGAACCTCGAGATTGCGTCCGCGAAAGCCATCCGGCCTCCCCCTCCGGCCTCTGCAGTCTGCAGATGACCTGCTGGCAATCGCAGCGGTCTAACATGCTCCTTGGCGCTACGGGATAGATGGCTGCGCTAAAGCCCTTGTCAAGCAATGGCACACAGCGCTCCCCATGATTACGATGCCCAATCAACATCGCCCGCAAGATACGACCAATCTGCCTTTCACCCCATCTTGGGATGACAGCCCACCTTGCAACGGCGGCTCCCATCAGTCGAAATCACCTGCAGATGACATGCCAGTCAGATGGCCGGATGCCTTCCCCGGGGCCTGCCCAGCTTCGCTGATGGCTGCATCTGGCGAGATGCCTAGACCCCGCCGTCTATTCCACTTGTCCACTGGATACTGGGAGGCTTTTCAGCAACCAGTATCTGTTCGAGACCGTCAAAAGGCCAGATCAAGTGTCGTTTCTCAATTACCTGCACTTACACGCCATCGACGCCTCACGGGCCTACTTGTTTTACGATTCATGCCCCTAGCTCGGAGGCCTTCATTCGCCAACTGTAAACAGACCTGAAGACGTGCTTGTCTCGGCAGCGATCGATTGTCCGAGATCTTGATTGCTGGATCGCTGATAGATTTTGACGATTTCGTGACACTCTATCGGTTTTTGATTGCACCAAGCTGCTGGGTTCCCCAGCGCATGCGCGATATGCCTGGCAAAGGCGCACAATGCAGGCTCGGCAAATGGCCAAACACCAAACGCGGTCGTTCATTGACAACACTTCTTTTAATTAACCACCGTTGAAAAACCAAGTTCTTCATCTATGCTGGGGATCACAAGCACTTGATCCTGCTGATACCCGATGCAATGTCACCACAGCAAACTTACAACAGTCCATTCGCTTGCGGAATACCATCTTTTGCCTAGCTCCATGACCCTTGCTTGGGCAGGGCACACCTCACGCAAAACCGAAAGCAAGAATACCGCTGTCACGTTGTCGTCAATGGCGCTACGATGACAAGGGACTGGGTAGATTATGATCGTGGTCTTCGTGCAGAACCAGAGCGATCTGGGTGCTGAACGGGCGCATCAGGTTGAGAATCTGCAAAATGATGAAAACACCGGGTCGAGGCATCATGTGCTCATGGGGTGGATTGCGGACGATGCAAAGTGGGTGAAGTTATCGCATCCACGTTCGTGAGATATGATTTCGGGTCGAGTCGCAAAAGAAGAGGTAGCGCATCGCAAAAAAGCATCATCAGCGGGGTGCGTTGTCAGTCGTCGTCTGTGGAGACTGCAGCAGAGTTCCCCTTCCTCCAACATATGGATACGCTGGATCAAGGAGAACGGCGTCCCGACAGTCGGGCACCTGGTTCGACAAACACTTCAAGACAAACAAGCCACAATCGATTTCGATGGGAGACATGTGTTGGCTCACGGTTGCTGACGAGTTCCAAATTGACCGGATTGTCTCAGGTCAAACTCGGTTTCATCACAAATTGATTGTCTTCTTCATGATCAAAGAAGGATACCTGCAGTCTCGCATCATGGGGGAGATGACTTACAACGCGAGACAACTCTCCTGCGATGAACAAGGATGAGTCCTGTTCTTCAAGGTCAAAGCGACTGACGAGGTCAGATGTGCAGAGATCAATCAGGAGGTTGGCAGGTTTTGTGACGCGACAGACCTACGACTTCTCGGGTCCTGTCATATATCACTTCCTACGAGATCTAGCGCCTCAGCCAGGAAAGGCAATAGTCACGAAGTCAGCACCCAATTACGTCGAGGATCCAGCCAAAAGTGAGGCCTATCCACAGCAGAATATTTCTCTTGGTAAATCCCAGTTCTGAGTTGCTACTGTTGATGAGGGATTTTAGCAACGGACCAGATTTTTCGACATGCAGTGCAGTGCAGTGCAGGTGGGAATCTCCGCGATCGCCGAGGCGCGAGTTTATCGTACTTTTCCAACCTGGGGTGCCACGGTTCCTTTACCACAACACTGGGTCACGGATCAGATTGCCAGATTGCATCGTGTCATTGTCAGATCGATTAGATGGGCCAATGCGGCCGTGCTGTGCTATGTGCTATGACGGCCAAGTCCAACGTTTACCTATCAGCTATCAACAAGTGCCGTTTGACATGCAATGAGCCGATTGCCCCAACGGGCCACCCCAAAGACAAGCAACTTACCATTGTACGACGGAAGTTTCGAAGGGGCGACGGGAGCAACCGCGTTACCGAAAGTTTGCTAATAACCGTCGTGGGTCTCTCCCGTAGCACCCTACCCAAAGGACTGTGTAAGGTTCCCTAGTTCGTAACCACCGCCCTTTACCCCCATCGACTTTTACGATTCAGCGTTGTGGTCAAATTTAGCAAGCTCCAGGTCGCGAGAGCCGACACGAAATGGCGCCAAAGCGATGGGACGCTGCGCACAGACTGAAATCCGACAGAGAGGAAAGGGATGCGTGTGAATCTTAGTCGTAATTGCTAGGAGCACGCCACGTTGCAGGCTTTAGTCACGAGTACCGAAGATGTCAAGGAAAACCCGGACATGGCAGAGGGGAAATGGGATTTTGGTCAATTGTCACTTTCTGATGAAAAAGTACACAGAGACGGAGGCTGGCTGCTTGAGATATGACGAAAGGTAGGACAGGACAGGGAGGGTTCACTTTACTGTGAGTCCGTGATTGTGACTGGGAAGAAAAGGCAATTCTCAATTCCTAGCGCTGCCCATCCATCGCCAGGCCCTGGTCCCGGCGGCGTCTCCCCCGGGCCCCCGGAAAAGTGGGTCTACTTTGGCATGGGTCCACCGGGGATCTGAAGGAAAGCGGCGGCGGTCAGGTAAGGCGCGGCTTCCCAGGTTGGCACACGCCATCAAAAAAAAAAAAAAAAAAGCACCGTCCACACTGTGAGCCGCACACAGTACCACCACCTGGGCCACACAAGGCTACGGTACATTGATTGAACCTTAGCGCCTGCACTTCATCATTCAAACCCACTTCCATCCATCACGAACCACTCAACGTCATCATCATTCTCTTTTCTTTCTGCTGCCCACAAAGTCGCATTTCTCCCTACGCACGAAACCCCCAACTTGCCGAGAGATTGGATGTCATAATCAAAGGGTTCAGCTAGCCAACGAATCGCGATTCAACTCCCAGCATCCCTCATCCTGGTTTATCCACGCCAACTCTCACGTGGGTTGATATTCAGGGCTCCAACGACATCTCGGAGCACAAAACAAGCGCAACGATTTGCACACTCGATTCGGCCAATATTCAACAGCCATTGAACCGCTCGGCATACATACCAGTCAACCCCTGCTCAACGTCTCTCGCAAAGACCAGCCTGTCGGCGTCCACCCCTCCTACTCCGCCACGCCACTTTGCTACATATTAGCGGGAGCCTCAGTCGTGTCCCAGACAGCCGTCAGGAACCATAAGCCACCTGATATTACTTGGCCCGCTGCACATCATCCCGAGAAACACGTTCCATTCTTTCTGTACGGCACAGCACGAACCCTATCCGTATACCTTACCATGGGGAAACCCAAAAGCACAATCGCCGGGAAGACAAAGGCCGGCCCTGGAACTAACAATGGCGGCAATGCAAAGTTGACCGCAGCTTCAATTCCCGCCGCGCCGCCCGCTTGGCCCCAGTTCAAGCCGCCGCTACCGGTCACCGACCTGGCTGCCGACCAGCTCGCATCTTGCCCCGACAAGGTCCTCCTGATTCGCAACTTTTGGCCAAAATCCCTCTGCAGTTCCTATGTCACTTTTCTGAGGGGTTTACCGCTGATCACCACCCCTGGTCGGCCTAAGCGGGGAGAAGCGGTTAGAGTGAACGACCGTTTTCAAGTGCAGGACGCTGCCTTTGCTCAACGCCTGTGGACGGAGACTGGACTGCGCGAATCGCTTGCTCAAGAAGACATTCAGGGTTTATGGTGAGTCCACTGTCTTCTGTTCCAACTCCCCTAGTCCCTGACTCCCTACTCATCCCATCCCCCGGCCCTCCGAATGCACCCTTGCCACGAACAACGCATCCCACGCGCTTCCGGCTAGATCCGCCAGCGTCTGCGCACAATCAAATGCGTCCAAAAACACTTATAACAAACATGAAACCCACACAGAAGAAGAAACCGCCTGCGTCGAGGTCTTTTTGCTGAGGGCTTGCCATGAGACTTACTAACATGGATCGTTTGCTCTAGGGGCGGTGAAGTCGTCGGTCTAAATCCCAATATTCGCATCTATCGTTACTCCAAGGGCCAGTATTTCGATGCACATTGTAAGTCTCATAGTCAAATCATTTTCTTGTCATCCAACGCCACAGGCGCCGAGAGCACTAGGCACTCACTCTGCCAGTCAACCAACAAGATTTCCGCCCCTCTATGCAACTAGGCCAGTGGCTAAGTGCTTTGAGGTCCTCGCGCGATTGCCATAGGCTGCACATATTTGTCACTCGTCGAAAGACTTCGATGTGCCGGAGCTCTACAAGTCTTTTCGTCTTGGGGGCATGGCCATGCTATTTCTCATGACATCAACGAAGAGCTCTCTCCACACACCGACAGTTCTGGGCCCCCGAAACTGGGTTGCAACGAGACCATTGCAAAATCACTGCCCACGTCCGAGTGGACATCCCACAATGCCCGTCACTAAGCAGATTGTACGAGGATTTGGTCATGCTCGGTCCATACGTTTCCCCCTTCCCATGACAATTACCTTCATCGACCCATTCCTGTGGAGTGGACACTTTGTTTAACCACGGGTCCCTTACTATGCATGTCTCAACCACGTCGAATCCAAGACCCGTGTCTACGAAGCAGGTCGTGACTTACGACTCTGCATGAGAAACCTGCTGAAAGATGTGAATTCTTTGAACCGCTAGCCCTTGAAGACGATTTTGGGACCCACAACAAGTGTCTGGACCAGCGATCTGCCCTTCAGATGATCATAAATGATATATGATATCTTGTCTCCTCCGCTCAGTCCTCTTTTGTTTGCACTTTCCTAGTCATCATGATCTTCCATCCGAGCACCAGAGACCCAGCGATTTGTCCCAGAAGCCACAACCCTGCGGATCGTTCCATCCCGATCCGCTTCGTGGCGTTATCTCCCCCTGGATGATGTGGGAAGATGAGTCCGGGAGCCTGCGAGTCTGATCCAGCGATACCCCTCGACATCTCGCATCTTCCTATCCAAACAAGAAACTCGGCACTGAGAGAACCAGGACCGCCATGCCTTGTCTTCCGGAGACCCTATGGTGTTCTTTCTGAGCTCTGACTCTTTCTTCTGTGTCCTTTCACTTGTCTTCCGTGCAGGCTTCCTCATCATCTCCAGCTTCAAGATCGACCTAGGCTGACCAGTGGACCCCCACTTACAGACGACGATTCTAACAACGTATCACTCAACCTCGACCCCTCCTCCCGACCCGTCACGTGCAAGACAACCTGGACACTGCTCCTCTATCTCACCTCTTCCGCCGAGGGCTGTGTTGGCGGCGAGACCGTCTTCTTCCCCAACGACCGCCGTTCCGCCAAGGAGGAGATATCGGTCGCCCTCGAAACGGGTATGCTCCTCTTACACAAGCACGGCGACGACTGCATGCTGGTAAGCCTCTTCTGTTCAGAAGTTTCTCTGCCTTTCATACTTTCAAAAACTCCATGCGTCCTCCCCTGGTTGATCCCCGAACGAATCATGGCCATAGCTAGACGTACCTGAACCTGTCGTTTTTTGTGCAACATTAACCCTTGCCACCACGATGTATTCGTTGGCAATTCGCTCTCATGTACCTTTTTTCATTGCTTTTAGTGGCGCGAAACGAGGACCCAACCACGGCCACCTCAGCTGCGGCCTCACCTCTCCATCTCTCCTTTTCTTCCTTTCTCACACTCTCTCGCTGTGCCCCAATCCCATCACTGCAAAGTTCCCCTCCCAACCACCAAACTCGATATGCCCACTCTGCACTACGGTACCACCTGGCAACCTGGGCAGCAGAACAGAACCCCTGCATCCCTCCCGCCTACACACCTGTCCCTTGATATTTTTACCGTACTTGGTCGCAGCAAAGGCCACTGCAAACTGACACATGTTCCACTTATCAACAGCACGAGGGGCGCGAGGTCAGCGCAGGCGAGAAGTGGGTGCTTAGAACGGACCTTTGCGTCAGGAAGTGAAGAAAGAAGGGGAGTGAGGTGAGAGAGGGATTTGCGATCAGCAACCATCAAGCAACATCCTTACTACCCCTGTCTTCTTCTGCTTCTGCTTCTCCTTCTACTTCTTCTTCCTCCCGATCCGCCTTTTTTGTCTTTTTTTTTTTTTTTTTTTTTTTTTTTTTTGCACCGCTCGGACGTGGAGCAACAGCGAAAGCTGAAGAGGCACATGTCGTTCTCGGTTTCTTTTGTGCTCCCCTTCCCCCGTCCTTGCCCGTCTCCCCGTTCCCCAATCCACTGCCTTGGTACCAATCATCGCCACGCCACACTGAGAACGTCCCTTCCTGGTCCCAAGACAAAATGGCCCCGTCCGACTACGGAATCGTCGCGGGATCCTACTGTGGCCTCCCCTCTTATTTGATCAGATATTGCTGGATCGTATGGAGAAGTGGGAATATGATGTTGCACACGCTGGTAGAAGTGGGACCACACGACTCCGACAGTGCGCTGGCCTCTGGGTCAAGTGATCTCGCTGTATGCATGCTGCGCCCGATTAGGTTGCCGTTTGATCGACGATTGTTCGGTGGACAGACCGTGGGCAGAACAGAACAGAGTAGACAAGTTCTGTCCAGGCGGTTGGTCGCCGTCGTCGTCGTCGGGCTTGGCTAGAACAAGTGGGAAGAACGTTGGAGACATGTAGGTCACACAGGCATAGGTGGAGAGATGAAGGAGAGAAGGCACTGGCTACGAATATGGGACAACTTTTACCGGAGGATTACCGGCGGGAGGATGGGACTGAGTAAATCTGATGCCCCAATCGCAACTCGACAATTCAATACCTTTAGACACTTTAGTCAACAGGACACCAGAAACACTCCCCAACCAAAGAGTGAAAATGGTCTTGACATCGTGTGTGCCAAGTAGATATCCCCGGGCCTTTTCAAAAAGTGATGACATTGGAGATCCGGGAAAGGCCGTCTGTCTATACGGCCCTTCTTTCTCTTGGTCCTCGTGTGTGCCCCCATTCCCCATTCCCCATCCTCCTACGCAAATCCTGACCCTACGCCGCCGCCGCCGCCGCCGCCGCCGCCGCCCGATACTTCCTTTTTAAACTGATTTGCACGAATTTGGATTGGCTGGGTCACCAGGGCAATAACGCAGACGACAGCACCCCTTTTTTTGCCCATGCTGCCTGCTACGAATACGTTTACGTTTGTTCGGCGTGCCAGTGCCATCACGACCCCTTCTATTTCCATTCCCCCCCCCCTCCTCCTTTCTAGGTAGGCATGTTTCTTTGGGCTGTCGAAGGCATAGAAGCAATGGAACGCACGCACACCCGGCTAACTTCCCGCTGGCTCCCCGAACGGCATCCGGGAAAGTAGGGCTACATCTCCAACTCACTACCCCCCCTGGCTACTTTCCCGCGGTAACGCAACGCAACGCAACGCAACGTGAACCCACCCACACCCCATTCTCACTCACTCACTCAACCAGCACCACCCTCCATCGGTACGGGAAATCAAGGATCTATCCGTACCGAAGATAGACACGAGTCGGGACCGGGACTCCCGCTCCCCCTGAGGGTCGCAATGGTATTTGGGAAAACAGGCGATTTGTGCGTCAAGAAGCGAGACTGGTTATTGTTGTGCCCTTTTTGTTATTGCCTGTCTACGTGTCTACCTATCTGCGTGTCGGAAAGAAGTTAAAAAGTGAAAAGAAGGGTTGCCTGACGAGGGGTGTGTTGGAAACATCGAAGCCCAACCGTGAAACACTGAAAAGCCCTCTCTCTTTGCCTCCGTTATCGCTCCGCCGGCTCCTCCGTTGTCGATGATTAATGACTCCCGTTACGGAGATGACCTATCAAACGCCCATGTCGCAGCAGAAACAAGCCATTTCCGGCGCCGCATTACCCTGAGATCAAGGCACTCTCCATCAGTCGTTCCATGGCGTCCATGGCAGTGTCTTCCTCTTCAACGTGTATCTCGTCCTCCTGACCAGTAGTAGCATCGCGGTCCTCGGGTGACGGTGAGACTCCGGAAGCCTCCTTCGTGGTGTTCTCAAATACCTCCAACAGATCACCGTGGTGGACCACTCTGCCGTCGTCAAGCTGAGTCTCCTGTTGGGTGCCTGTGTTATCTTGCTCGACCCGACGAATAGGATACGACCTCATCGGTATCGCTTTGGCTTCGGGGTCGACGGTAGGCTTGATCTTGACGTGGCCTGTGGCGATGCGACCCATAATCCAGTGGAAGATCCACGGGAAGCTGATCAGGGGCATCGATTGTCGCTTGTGATCCTCGTCTTCGTATTCCTCTGCAAGCGCTGCATTGACCTCCTGCTCAGTCACTTGATACATTGCAGCCACGAAAGGGGCGAAGTCTTCGAACCGTCGGCTGCCAGCCTCTGTATAGCAAATTTCTCGGAATCTTTGCTTGAGTGCCGCTGATTCTCGCCCAATGTCCTCTTGTTGCTTGTAGTCGCTGCCAACCCGGGGTCTCGACAGAATGAAACCTGTCCATGCTTCGAACTCGGTGTGAACGTCACGGTGACTCATGAGACGACGCAGAGCAGTATCGTATTGACCTTTGACCTTGCGAGCCTTTTGTAGAAGTTCCTCGGGCAATTCAAACCTTTTCAGCACCCTTCCGTCGAACTTTTTCTCGTAGAGAGGGTTGAGATCCTGCTCGACGATTCTGTCGAAGATCTTGCCAAGCGCAGTCGTAGATTTATATGATTTATACTTGCGATTCATAAAGTGCGGCCACTGTTTAGGTTCGAGTTCGTCAGGATACTCCGCTGGATCTGCAGTTTTGACGTAGTCTACCGCCTTGGAGTGCAGCGCTGCCAGCCTCAAGCCTACAGAATCTGTGTCAATATCTGTCCACCATCATCCACTGGTAATTTACTCACATTTTGGATCGTTTGCCCCTTTTCTGGAGTAATCGGCATGAGCCAGATGCGCAATTGCAACCTTTGCCAGGCAGTCGTTTTGAATGTAACGAACGAAGAATGTTCTCAGGTCTGATACTTTGACATCCCGCTTCAGTTTCGGTGCTTTGGGTGCGATGTAGTTCATAGGTGGGTGGTGCCAGTTCTTGGGAATGAGGTCTGGGTTCCAGATGACGAAAAAGTCATCTCCGTCAAGGTCACCTCCCGAACACATGCTGGGGACGTCTCGGTCACCGGTGCTCGGAAACACCACGACGTTCTGCAGGTGGTGGAGGTCAGGGACATCGACCGCTTCCACAACCCGAATATCACCCGGATGAAGTGAAGGGTTTCGTCCCACAATGCATACGCCGGTGACGCAGTAAAATTTGCCATCCTGTGGATTTGCGATTCGAACAAAGATCTGCGGCAAGTCCTCGATGTTGTTGGTATTATTCCCCTCGGTTGCCTGGCTGTGGCCTCTCAACGTGCCTGTTTCATCCAGGCAACCGAGAAGGAAAGCGCTTTGGTCGACGACAACGCGCGCCTTTTCCTTCAACAGCTTCATGGACCAGATACACCAGAGGTCCAGAATTGTCAGCACGAACGGCTCTTGAACCTCTGCATCCATGAAGCCCCAGCAGACGAGGTCTTTGATGGTTAGGGATGTCATGTTCTCGTCAATGTATTGCCCCAGTAAGCTCGCAGCGGCGACTCGGTCTTTCATAGCCTTCTCGTAGCCCTGGATTTGTTGCTCAGCAAGATACAAGATCGGACCATCCTTGACACCAAGCGTCGTAAGAATGGTTATGGTTTGTCGATTCAGCGTGGCTGGTGAGAATTGCGCGAACTTGATGATTTCTAGGCCATTGAACTGGGCCCTGAACTTTTCTTGGGAAGGTCGGATGTGGACATTAAGGCCCTTTGCGTCAGGCCAGACAGCCAGCATGCCTTTGCAGCCACCCATGCGAAACTGAAAAGCAGAGGGTATTCCAACGGTATCTTGGCCCATCTCGTGGACTACCATTTCGGCCAATAGCTTCGAAATTTTGCCGACACCATCGCTGAAGCAATAGCCGCCGCGCTCGATGTCTTGCATTTGTACGATTTGAGGAACAGTGACACCTCGGATCTCTCGTGTTGTAGAGAAGCACTGACCGATGCGAGCAGCGTATTTGGCGACATTCTTGATGTGGTTGAAATGTCCCATCCAGTCACGGATCTGATCGCATGAAAGATGATCGGTCGGACAGAAGAAGTAGACAGCGCACTCCCGGATTTGCGAGTTTCCAAATGCGAGAAATTCGTAAGTGCGGTTTCCAATCTTGATGCCTTGTTTCAGGGCACGGTAGATGCGATGATGGATTTCGTTACCTGCATCGCTATAGATCCTGCCTCTGTACAGCTCGTCCGTGAATTGAACTCTCAAGAAGCGGTCTTGGTAAGAATTGTACTTTCGCAGTACCCTGTTGGAGGATTCAACGCTTGGCGAGCAAAAGTGCATGGTCGATGGTGTGACAATCACCTTCCGGATCGTAGTGCAGTAGTATGGCATGCTCACACCAGGAAAATAAAGAGCAGCCTCTTCATTCTCGAACATCTCCATCGGGTTCCATTCCATCTTCCCTTGATCCGCAAAGTACTCGAGCATCCACTTCGCTCGGTCCTTGTCCATCTGACACAGTCGGTCGATGAATGCCTGAGTGATGGAATACTCGGATATAATGCCCCGAGAAATACAGACCTCAAGCTGGTAGTGGACCTCGAAGGGCAGTTGGTGGTCATAGGAGTCAGAATCAAAAGATCGCAACTGACTCTCGGGGTGCTGAGCCCTGAAAAAAGTACCGAGCAGAGGAGGTCGTGGAGAGGTGGCCACAAAGAGTTCTGCAGTAGTTGTCGTGATGTTGTGAGCCTCTAAGGCCTGCAATAATTTTTCCAGAATATCTTTTCCGGTCTTGGGAATCGAGAATCTGTAAGTGGTCCAGCGACCGGTATTGATGAAGTCAGGATCTGCGAATTCTGACTGGAGCGTGATTGGGAAGTCTTTCGGCAGTTGATCATTGTGCAGTATGACTGTGCGCCTTTCCCACATGTCCGTAATGCCCCATGAAGTCTTGCTCACGGCCATCTTGCTTCGCATCCTCCTGCTTGCCTTGGTCCAGAACATAGGTGGAAGACCCAGCGGTATGACCAGAAGCGTGTCTTCATCTCGATCGACTCGATAGATGTTGGTCAGGCGGGCGAACTCGATTCCGCACTTGTGGTGAAATACCTCCTTGTCCTCGGTACCGTTCTGGTCTTCCAATGGGTCCAAAGGACAAGTGTCGAAGTGAATGGTAAGCTTCTTCTTGGTCAAACTCATATCGATGCGCACGCCTTTCTGAACGGATTTGAAAACCATCATCTCCTTCTCCTGGAGCCGTGTGCCAAAGCCCATGCGTTCCGCTTCAAGTATCATCTGGGAATCGAACCAGATGTTGGGGTTCGAGGGACTCTTGATCAACTTGCAGTAACTTTCATGGGCTGGTCGGAACGTCCTGAGAGTGACACAAGCGCTCTTGCCTCCCTGGTATTGGACGGTGTGGGATCCTGATGACCAGAAATTGACTCTGGGGGGAGGCTCAAAGCGAAGCCGGGCGTATCCATCGCGTTGGCCATCTTGGTTCTCTCCGATCTCTAGCGAAGAAATATCGCCATATTGCTTGAAGGAGTCGTATAGCTCAGCTAAATCGACGGCTTCAGGGAGGCCACGAATCTTGAGTGAGAGTTCCGGCCATGTACGCCAAGGCTCATCTGCCATATCCATGACGTGGGACGGCTGCTAGAAGCCAAAGTCAGCAGAATTCATTTTTATATCTCATGAAAGAAGTATTGAAAAGAAGCATCCGAGGCTGTATTGTACACACCTATGATTCAGGTGAATATGTATTGGGACGAGTTGGCCGGTACAAAAAGTGATCCGGGTGGACTGCCTTGGGAGAAGGTAGATGGGAAGGTTGAGAATGGAACGTTGGAGGTTGGAAGGGAGGCAAGCAGGAGGATGTGGACGGGGTTGGAGGTGAAGTCGAGGTGAGGAAGGTAGAGACCAAGGAGTTGTTTGTGAAGGAAGGAGCAAGAAATAAGTAAGTGGCTCCTTCTTTCCTTCGGCCAAGTGTTTCTGGATTGAACTTTGCTTGGGTTTTCGAAATTTTCTTTGCCCAAGCACTTTGCATGCAGCTACCCGCTACAATATTGAATCTTGGATCGATTGCCCTCGTTCCATATCCTACTCGGTTGCCTACTTCAGACTCTGCACATCATCATCGGCCAGTTGCTCTGCTCTCAACTTTGAACTTCATCTCAAAATACCCGTTTCTCGGTAGAGCTGTCCGTCCTTCGCTGCTCATGGACCAGAACAGCAACACAGCAATGAATGAACAGTTTCTTATGAATCGCAGAACGCAGTCTGGGAGCCAGTCTGTATCAAGTAGAAGAACGAACACCTCCTTGCAAAATTGTCTGTCCAATGCAAAGGACTCAATTCGAAAGACCATTACTCTAAAGCCTTTCCCATGTTGTGCTAGGTCTGGTCCCCTTTCTGATCGTTGCAAGCACCTAAGTAACGCTTTTTAGACACCAGATCAGAGAACAATGCCAAGCAGACCAATCCCAAATGCCTGTGTAATGGCGAGAATTTCCATCACGTCCATCCGAAGCCCTACTCAGTCACCAATCCGACTCTCAGTGGTATCCGCCGCTCTTAATGGCATCCCACATCATTCATGTCGACCCCATATCAAACGACCATAAGTCTATACGGAGTAATCTTGGTTCGTCCTTGAGCCTTCAGGAATGTCCATGATTTTTCCAGGGTTCATGATCCATTTCGGATCCAGCGCGCGTTTGATCGACTTCATTACGTCGAGGGTATCGGAGCCAACCTCAAGAAGCAGCGATTCTTTCTTGCCCCAGCCGATCGAATGCTCGCCCGTACACGTCCCTTCCATCTCAATTGCTCGCTTTACCATGTTGTGGACGCACTTCTCGACCTTCTCTCTCTCTTCGGGGATCGTCCGGTTGTAAATAATGCTTTCGTGGAAGTTGCCGTCGCCGATATGTCCGAGAATACTTGCAAACAACCCCATGTCATCCATCTCCTTCTTGCTAATCTCGATGAGGTCAGCCAGACGGCTGAAGGGGACAGCGACATCAGTACTCCCTACGCATTGTCAGTCCATAGTTCCCCCGGTACTGACCAAAGCCAGATAACGAGCTACTCACAAACTTCTTCACCGTCCTTGCGGAGAGCCAACATCGACCATAGTGATTCTTTCCGGGCAGACCACAGCAACTTTTGCTCGAGCGCGTCCTTTGCGAACTCAAAGTTACCACCCTTGTGGTTCTTGGTGATCTTCTGAACGAGGCCAATGTTCTCCTTGACACCGGCCTTGGTACCAGAGAACTTGAAGAACAGGGTCGGGAGTTCCTGCCAGACACGAGGCGCTGTTGCACCACCTAGATTGACGACCTTCATTTGGACTTCGTCCATGATCTCCATGGCCGCCACAGGGATACCATTGCGCATGACTTCGGCCGCGGCCGCAGCAGCGTCTCTAATACTAGGGAATGTGACCACGGCAACTGAAAAGTCTTCGGGCACAACAGTGAGCTTCAGGGTTGCTGAAAGCTATTAGTAAACACTCAAGGAAGCGGTGACGAGCTGGAACCAGACCATCTGCCTAGTCCTACTCACCTTCGGTCACGAGGCCTAGTGTTCCCTCAGATCCTACGAACAACCCGTTCAGGTTGTAGCCGGCAGAAGACTTTCTTGGCCGTCTCCGAGTCTTGACCACAGTTCCGTCTGCCAAAACAACGGTGAGGTTGATCACCCAATCCTTCATCGTTCCGTATCTAACGGCGTTGGTTCCCGAGCAGTTTGTACCGATCATTCCACCAATCTTTGCGCTTGGGCCTGTCTTATGTTCAGTTCTAGAGATCTCGTTCATGGCGAACACTACGCTGATCTTGGCTTACCCGGGTCGATAGGGAAGAAGAGACCACTCTCCATATTTGCCAGTTTTTCGTTCAAGTCTTGCCATCCGATACTCGGCTGTACGACAATGTCCATATCGTCCTTATTGAAGGAGAGAATCTGGTCCATAAAGGCGAAATCGACACTGATTCCCCCGTAGGGTGCCGAGAAGTTTCCTTCCAGACTGGAACCACCCGAGTAAGGAATGATGGGGACGTTGTATTTGAAGCATACTCGTGCGATTGTCGCCACCTGCTCAGTTGATCGCGGGTATGCAACAGCAACGGGAAGGCCATCAGGATTAGTCGACGACCATTCGGAATACCCATGAGCATGCAAATCGTCGGGGTCCGTGGAAATGATATCCTCGCCCCCTAGCTCCTTTCGAATCTCCTTCAAGGCCTACACGCTGGGTTAGAAGCGTCACTCTTTCGCTTAATGGGGTTAGAATACCTGCTCCATCTCGGCCATGCTTGCATAAGTCACAGGGCGAGACAAACCGTCCGGAGAAAGCAGAGCGCTGCCAAGAGGAAGAAAGCCAGCGCTGGCAGAATTGTCCTTTATCGAGCTAGCAAGACCCCAGCCAACGGTACCGGCGGCCAAAGCAACACCCCAGACCGACTTCCCATGCCAACCGCTTTGTGCGGTGTTGGTCGAACCTTCGGAGCTGGTCCGGGGGCTGCTTCGCCGGGTGGTCGTGGCCGAAAAGCTCCGACCGGCGCGGAGAGTGGGCCCAGCGAGTCGGCCCCTCAAGCCATGGCTCAGAAGGGGCCTCGCAGAGAGTTTGGCCGACATGCAGGGGATGAGGGCCATTTACACGGACACAAATCCGATTCCTCGAGGAGAAAGTCTGCTATTGGCCAAGAAGACGACCAGGGTAAGATGCTGGAATCGACAGGGTATAGTGGTGGGTTGCGTCGGCGAGATGGCTTGCGTCGGCGTTCGAGGTTGATATTGGTCTGCGCTGCTTCTGATTTTGTGCCGGAAACGTCGAATCCAACGGAGAGTTGTGGATGACAATTCCTAATATTGGGATTGCAGGGCGATGCGAATGTCGACTAGATGTCGGTCTGCCAAATGACGACGATGTAGAGGGCTGCCGAATGGCCCTTTGCTAAAAGCGTTTGTGTATAGCGCGAAAACGAGTCTATGACAACCAAAGCCGGGACGGTGAACCAAACAGAAAGAGGAAGACGATGTGTTTATATCCAGGAAGCGAGCGAAATCGTCGACCACATATCCCAATCCACGGCCAATGTCGCAATCGCCCACGAAGCAAGCTAAGAAGCTGAGTGTTGGGGCAAGTGGGTATGGTGGATGACAACGGGGCCCTTCGCCTTTAACAACGATGCCTCTCTGCCTTTTTTTTGTGGAAGAAGTTGAGAGAGCATGACCCGAATCTCAAGTACATGGGCGTACCGCATCCCACTTTGGGAACAAGGTGCAGACAAGGCAGAGGGAGTGGGTGCATAGAAGACTTTCTTGCAACCAATCATGACACTGGAGAAGGGGAATACAGGCCCAAAGAGTCAAGAAGTCAAGAGCCGGCGGGCTAGAAAGACGAAAGCATGGCTAGCGAGTGAGCAAAGGTGGTAGCCCTGAGTTGTCAGCGGGGGTAAGACTCTGGACTTTTCCACGATGAGGTACTTTGCAATACCTCGCCTCACTAGCACCAGTCCGGGCAAGCTTTCCATGTGGAGCAGCGAGCTTGGATTTGCTATGTTGCCAGAGACAAAACAAAGAGGATGACATCGGGCCTGGATCCGGGGCACAGGCGGGGAAGATGCCGAAGGTGAAACAATCCGAAGTCGTCGATGTTCTCGGTGAATGGAACATTTCCCCGCGGAACGGTACGGCGAGGATAGATGAACAGATTCGATATCGATTCGCGACCTCCGGGTTTGGTGTAGCTCAGCATCTCTCGGCGACGCTGGGTGACGGCTGGAAAACCAACAAATCGGGAACAGAACAGAAACAGGGGCATCGGAGTTGACGCGGAAAATGTGGCCAGCTTCAAAGGTCCGAGTGAGCATGGACACGAGCCCGATAATGAACGAAGGTAGAGCATTTCACGTCATCAGTAGGGACTGATGCTGGGTTGTGATGCAGGTGTGACCCCCGTTTCGTGGGGTGGCTTAAGCTACGATGAATGGGGGGCAGCAACAACCTTCCGCAGTTGGTCTACTGGAAGTCTGATTACCAACGGCATCCCACCCTTTGGGTTGGACTTCTCACCGACGTAATCAAGTTCGCGGCAATGGCAGCCGCAAATCACGACTAGCAAGCGAATCGAGTGTCGAGTTCGGAAGGCTGACGGACCTCGTGTTCGAAGATGGCCCTGCTGCCGTTGAGTTGTACGACGGTGAGACGGGGCAAGACAAGACTGATGAAGTCTAGCATACTCAAATATGCCATTGACGAGAGACTGCAGGCGTACCGGCGTACCCCCAACCAAGAGCATGGGTACAGGGGGCCGAGAAAATTTCAATCTCTTCCCATGACCACGATTTTCCAGCCTCTTGTGAGCGACAAAAGGGCCCTGATTTCTGACGAACCCCCGCGCACCGGCCTGGTCGGTGTAGAGTCCGCAGTGGGGCTCGCACGAGGGGTAACGGTGGCGCACGGTGACCGCCGAGGACGCAGGCCGTTGGCCTCCGGGGCCAGCCAAACAAGACGTTTGTCAGGGTGCCGCTTGCCGGCTGGAACATGTCTTCTCGTCTGTGGATATGACTGCAGGTTTCTGAGCATCCTCTCACAGAGACCATCCACTGCGAGGTCGCACTCGCCTGGTGGAT